GCAAAGGCTGTGCCAGGCTGTTGTCAGCACCCTCCGGAGAGTGGTGTGACCCTGTGGCACACAGGCACACGTGCTACACATCCACACAGCAACGAAGCAGCTAATGGCTCCACAGAGGAGGATGCTTGTAGGCATCCTGAGGAGGACACCAGTGTCTGGGTTGCCTTAAACAGTGAGCGCTATTAATGATGCTTCCACGCATGTCACACGTCCAGCTGCAGCGATGGTGTCAATGCCCTACAGGTGACACCGTCCGCAAAGAGTATCAGACGTCCCCAGTGCCGACACCAGCTACCCAAATGGCCACCACAACACCAACACCAACAACCACAACAACGGATCCTTCCACCACAACGCCAAAGCCAACCACAACACCTGCAACAACCAGAACCACAACAGTTGCAGCTGCAGCCAAGACTCGACCTGGACTGCACAGGGTCAGAGATATAGGTCAGTAACATGGATGCTTGAATTGTTTTCCTCCTGACCTACAGCTTTCCTAAAGTTTAAAGGACAAGACATGCAGCTGAATATACCATGATTTAGTGGCTCATGAACTCAATAATTCAATGTAGAAATATTAGGAGTGGATAAAAAAATTAATTCCAGTAGACGGGCTGGAGTTAGCATTGTGCCTTCAAGATACATAAAAAATTTGTGTATCTTAAGTAAACATAAACATGTAGATTCTCTGAGATTAGAGTTCATCTGAAGTAAATTTATGGCTAGTCTTTATCTTCACATGAAATGTACTGGCGTATAAACTGATTCATGTGGAAGTAAGCTCTCCATTCCCAAATGCTGTCATGATTTTCAGCTATAGGAGTCAACCAATAGGTCCTTCATTCACATGTCTGGACTAAGAGTTCAACAAATAGGTCAAGACTCATTTTAGAATTAATTTCATGATAACTTTCAATAAATGAAAGTTGTATTTTTTGTAACACTAAGAAGGAATTCTCATATGATTTTTCCACAGCTGGTTTTCCTTAATCTTTCCTTCTCTGTTTATTCTTATTCACTAACATTGGGCTTTTTGGTTCAAGAGCTGAAAATTAAAATCTCTTATTTTTAGGTTCTAGCAGCATCCACCCAGCATACTCATCTGTGGTAGCTGCAGCATCAAGTAAGTATGGTGAAGAAGTATGTGCCACAAGGCATGCAGTACAGTGTATTTTAAGGCAGCAATTACTCAATAACCTTTCAAGCCTCAGCAAATTCAATGACTGAATCCAAGTCTGGATTTAAACTGAAAAACAGACACTTGGCCTGAATGTCAGAGATGCTGATTACCCACAGCTCTGGGGAAGCCTTTCTAGTGAATATCTGCACATTTCAGCCTTGACAAACACTGGGTTTCGCGACACTGGAGACAAAGCCTGTGCTGTTTGAACTGTATTTTCCTACTGCTTCATTCTGTCGTACTCTCTCACAGGGAGACTTGATTAGTTGTAAGATACATGATGCAGAGGGCTGCCTCTCTTAGGGCTGAGAGCTCTGAGATGCTGACTTACATTCAACCAATGCTCTTCAGAAAACCTCAGGCTGTGGTTCTGAGCCTGGCATATCTGTGATGTTATTCCTGGCGTGCTGCTCGTGTTATTGACAGCAGAGTGGCGGCTGCTCAGACCTCTCCATCTCAATCCAGAAGCCAGCTCCCATTCCAGCCCACAGCCCGCAATGCAAGTATTTAGAGGTGTTTTCCCATACAATCTGTAATTGCTCAGCTGCACCGTCAAGTAGAGGAGAACATTTTCAACTGTTTGCAAGTTTCTCAGCATGAGGATATGATCGCTTTTGAGTGAAAAGCGAGCTGGGCCATCATTAGGTTTTATGCTCTGTTGCTGTTTCAGAGTGCCTTGAGCTCAGCTTTACTCTCACATACGTAATGGCAGCCACCTCTGCTCCCAAGTAATTCAGAGCCAAGCACATGGCAGGGCAGGTATCTTCTGGGCAATTCAGGTCCTGAGGGAAAGCACCATTAAGTCAAATATAGCTGCAAGCCCAGAATAAGAGCAGGGGCTGGAGGGGTTAATCTTACCAAGTCAAACGTGCAGGTGTGTCTATGGCAGGATTTACAGAAGTGCCAACACAATTCGAAGCAGTTTAAACTCAGTGGGAATCTACATCATTCGGTACCTAATGTGCCTGTAAACCCGGTCCTGCTTGTTGCTCTCTTTTCTATTTCTTATTCCTGCAGGCTGAGCATGGAAGAGGCCATTATTGTCTTTACTAGCAATTAGGAAACCACGTCTGAGGTTCCTCAGTCAGAGAGAGATGCATGTTGAGGGCAAAGTTCTGGCAACACTGAAATCAGTGGGAAAGATGTATTTGCCTTCAGTAAGGTCAAACCTTTAGTCAAAAAATGAAGAAGAGGAGAATAAAAATCATTAATTTTTTCAAGACTTTCGGTGGACACTTTGTTGCAATTTGTATCCATATTTCTTCACAATTTTCTTTACTGAAGTTCTAAACATACGTTAACTCTCAAAAGACTGAAGTGATCAGGCTCAGGGACAGCTTATTGTTATTGTGAGCTGGAGGAATAGTGGAGACCTACTTCTGATTTCACAGACTTCATTTCTAGGACCATGTCCAGCATGTCTGTACTTGTATCTGGTTTCCTGAATTCTTGATTCTAAAAGAGAAGAACTGGCTAAAATAAAATATAGAAAATACAATAGGGTTTTGAAGCAATGACCATACACTAAGCAGTTTATCTATTTTCTTTGCCTGAGGAGCCTTTAGGACTCACTCTTTTTATTCAGGCCAGAGTTTCTGATGATGCTGTTTGCCTTAACCAGTATTTGGCTTGACCGGACAGAATCATATGTTCTGCTGTCCATCTCGGCTCACAGGGACTCACAGATTTCTCTCTCACAGGGCGTTGGTAGTTTGCCTGCAAAAGACACCTCAAAAGTAAATAGCCTTGAAATAGAGCACAGTCAGCATGAGCACAGCTGTGGCTGCTGTTAGCTCTGGCATTTCCATTTCCAGCCACTGGTGCTGGCAAAAGTTCACAGGGGCAAAAGAAAAGCTGGACTTGCCAATCAGAGCATTAGAGCAGGGACAAAACTCCTCCATCCTAGCTCTTGTTGTTCTTTCCCCTTTATCTTCCGTTCAGCAAAGATACAGAAACAGGAAAAATATGAGAGACTCTGCTCCATCACAGGAGCCCTGCATGAAAGATCTGATGTGGCAAAACTGTTCAATGAAAAACCACTGATGCGACTAGCATGACATTTGACATCTTACTCCTATCTGCTCTACTCGCAAATGCAGCGCTTCATCAGTGCAGTACGTGCTAAAGGACAGTCCTGGAGGGGAAGCAGCAATGGCAGTGGGCTTTAAAAGTGGATGCTAACTCCCTCCTGCTCTGGGCAGAACTTTAAGTTCAGCCACACTCTGGTATGATGACAGCTCCTGCCTCTTTCCAACTGCACTTAACCAAGCACGCTGCCGAGGGCCATGAACTCAGTTGCCCTCTCCCATCCCAGCTTTTCAAGCAATCCCTTCTTGCACAGCTGCTTGGACCCTAGACAAGGGAATAAATTCAGTGCTTCTGCGAACGCTGCAATCGTAAGCCACGTCACGATCCTCGGTGCCACGCTGAGGCACTGAGCTGGCAACCAAGCATCGGGCAGTGAGTGCCTGGGCAGCCGCAGGCAAGGCTCTGCCCTGCACCCCATGCCCAGCTCGGTTCAACGGTTGCATCTCTTTTCAGACAGGGACCCTAAGCTGGGCCCTGCCTACCACTGTACACTACACTGCTTTCATCCCCATTTGTGACTTACTGTAGTAGTAAAAAGAAAAAAACAAAACAAAGACTGGGAAGACAACAGCAGTGTCAGTGCTAGAGAAAGCACTGAAAGCTCTCCTCCAGCCATGGCTCATACCCTGAGGAAGCACTGGGTAAGGGCTCCGTCCTGGCACTAGGGAGAACAGCTAGTGTTTAGGTTTGGGTGCTGCCTTTCCCCCCAAGTTCGTCCTGACTTAGCTCATCAAAGGTGCTGACCAAGCTGCAGAAGGCCAGCCATATTTTGTGCACAGAGTAGCTGCTTGCCTTCTTAAATCAGTTCCCATCACCTGCAAGGTCCACTCCAAAGTGCATTTGTCTCTGCTGCCTTCGTCCTTTACTGCCTTCATGCACCCCTGCCCACTGTAGGACTTGCTCCCAACCAAGGTTTCTCTACTCCACTGCTTTCACTTCTGACCCGGTTCTTGCGATTCACCTGGTGACTGCCCATCCCCAGTTTGTTATAGACTTCTCCCAGTCCTGCCTCAGCCTCTTGCTTTCACAGAGCTCTGGTTTAATGAACACAATTAAATGCCGCAGGCTCACTGGCATCTCAGACTTGAAGGAAGAAGAAGCCTTGCAGACCATGGAAGTGAGATTCCAACCTTTCTTCCTCTATCCCCACCAGAACAAGCATGGCAGAAGCCAGGTCACTGCAGGGATGGTGGTAGCACGCCTGTGTGAGATACAGCAAGCGGGAACAGCCCCAAGGCCCAGAGCAGTTAAAAGAAGCATAGAAAGAAATCCACTTTGTTAACAGGGAGTGGAGGGTAGGGTTAATTCCCTAAAAAAGTGGCATAAAATACGTCTGATACTGAGCTAATCTCTCTTTCTCTCTTGCACTGTGTTTCTACTGACTTTGTGACTAGTGTTATACACATATTCCGGCTCAGTTGTGGCAAACCTGAAGCAAGGTGAGCTCTCAGGCTCAAAGTTAATTTTGTTCCACCTCTTTGGCACACACTGATCTCCTGCACAACCCCATACCATACTGCTGCACAGACTTTTCCCTCCACAGCCTGAAAACTCAGCCTGGGCTAGCTGTGGTCCATCTGGAGCCAGAGCTACAAGCTTAGAGAGTTTAAAAGCCTTGCCAGTTTTGGCAGATGAGCCTGTTATTTCCTTCTGGAGTTTACGGGGTCTCTCAGGCCAGCTCCTAGAAATCCCATCCAAGGGCTTCCAGTGGCCTGTGAAGGTTCGAGTTTGGGTCAAACACAAGCTATTTGCTGTCACCTAATTTTGCAGTATCAAGTTCCCAGGGAGCAGCACTTCCTGTTTCCTGAGACAACCATTCAAAATGGTCTCATTTATGATAACTTCTTGATAAAAATATCTCACAGGCCCCCGTCCAGTGTTCACAGGAGTCAGTTCGAACATTCCCACTGATTTCATCAGGCTTTGGAATTAATTTTTCTGGGAAAACTAATGAATAAAGGCTTGTTAAAGGGTAAGTTTGTTAACAAGCTTCTTAAGAATAACTAATGAAATGAAAGGCATGATTAAAGACGTGGTTTTCATCTGCAAATTCTTTGAGCCTTAAGTACTTTTGAACAATGGGAATTCAATAATCCAATCACCTTAAACAAGGCCTTTTGTGTAGACAGTGGTGAAGACATTTCACACACATGAAGTCTCCCACGTTATTTTTGTCATTGTCTCATCATTTGCAGTCTGCCTGCTTGCTTGTATCCACTCACTCTCTGCAGAAAGGGTAGTATCCGGTCTGCGGGGGTTGTTTTGGGTTTGGGATTTTTTTTAACCTTCCTCACACAACCAGCACAATTGGATGGCACTGAAATAGAAATAAACATAGATAACCAGTGTGACAGAAAGGGAAAGTTATAAGGGAAAGAAAATCACAGCAGCAGCTACAAACCTTTTAAATGCAGATCAGAGACATCTACAAGTAATATTCACAACTGAAGGGAATGTTAACTAGGCTAATCTATATGACAGGCAGAGCAAGGTAATCCTTTTTCAAGCAGGCTCAAAATATGTAGTTAACATCTGAGAAAGTATATGAATGAAAACTCTCTTTATATGAACCATTAACTCTTGACAGCTATAAAATGAGACTCAGTGAAAAAGCCATGTTAGCAGTAGTCCTGAATCAAACATGGTATAAATCAGTTTTCCATTTTGGTGTCTCCTTAGGACAGGTTCAGGCTGCACAAGGAGGAGGACAGAATACAGGTATGTCTTAAATTAATAATAACTAGTAGATTAGTATTGCTAGAATACTGGAAAACCTTGTGTTTAAGTTCTATGTACTAATCAATATATTTTCAAAGTATTCAGGGGCACTTCCACCTCTGCAAGTAAAAGGAATATTTTACGACCCAATACAGGTAAAGGTATTAAAATACCTCCTCTAATTCTTCCCTGTAGCTAGTTCCACCACTCACATCTACCGAGTCATGCAGTTATGCATTGTTTTTCACTCCTAACCACGTTCTTAGCAGGATGCAGTGAAAGCAGATATCACACTGGTTATTGCGTGACAAAATTGTAACTTTTAGGAAAAAAAGGAAGCATGAATAATTAAACTTAGACTTATTCTCAAAATAGTATTCTAAAACCATTTATAAAGGTGTTTTATAACATTTGCTGCTGCAAAATGAGGGGGGAACTTTGTGTCTGTGTAAGTTTGGGCTATGAAGGCCTGACCCTGAGAGGAGACACGTGTTTTCAGCATCCAGGTGCTGAGCATGATCAGCACCTCGGGACCCACTAGCACTTGTTCCAGTGCACCAGTGAGTAGCTCCACTGCACAGCACCTACTAACACTTAAACACTTCTGCTGTTGCCAAACTCTTTTGAGCTTTTAAATTCTTTTTGTTTTTTTAAATTCATAGTTCCCATCTTCCTTTCCCATGTGGTTTGAAAACATGTCCAGAAAGACAGTGCGGGGCCATGGCATCCCTCGCGATTGTGCTTCTTCCTCCTCTCCTGCTGGGTCTAACCTCTCGCCTCTTTGTTGGACCACGCAGGTATCCAGCGCCAAGAGCCCGCTGCCACCTTCCGGAGGGCTGCCGGCTCTCCAGCCCACCTGGGTGAGCAAGATTGCTAGCAGCAGATTTTCTTCTCTCTGTCATAGTTTTAGCAACCCTCTAGCACTACTGTAGAACATTCTCATGTGTTCTGGAGGAGGACCAGGGCAAGACTCACGCCCTGAATGCCAACTAGCAGCTTCCTGAATGCAAAAGACAAAGGACAACTCGGTCACTGGCAAGCTGTTGTTTCAGGCCGTGGGAATCAACATCTACTGCAGTGTTTGCAGTTTTCCTTATTTGTTAGTCAAAATGAGAAACAAAAAAACAGCTCTGTGCAGGCTATCAGGTCTGTGATCAAGTGAAATCTTCTGTTCCTGTTGTTCCCAGGAGTCTTCAGGCTGATCACAGAATCAGAATCACAGAATGGTAGGGGTTGGAAGGGACCTCTGTGGGTCACTAGTCCAACCCTATGATCGCGACTGTAGAGGATGCCTTTAATACTAGAGGGTATTAATGAGAGGGTCTGGTGGTGGTACCCAGGGCCATCCAACAGCCCCAGCTGAAAGGCAAGTCCCCATTGATGCAGTCTGTCTGATTAACTGAGACAGGACACCAGACCAGCAGGGCAAGGTCAGGATCAGGATAGCAAGGTACCAGACAAGGCACAGGCACAAGGAGCAAAGGTGAGGGTGTGCACCAACACGCTGTCACCGAGCAGCGTGATCTCCCCATCAGAATGACAATTTCTAGTTTACCTAGTTGCAGGACATTTAAAATGGATACACTTCTGCTCCTCCTAAGACCTAATCTGTTCCCTCACTTTTCTACCTCTCCTCCTTGTTTCAGTCTCGTTTGCTTCCTTCTGGTTTCCATCTGTGTTTGTCCTTCTTGTATTTTTTGGCCATACCAATGTCACAGTCATTTCTTCTTTATCAATCTCCCATTTTTTGTGCTCCCATGATTCCCTTTGCCCTTGCCAAAGTCCAGTGCCCACCATTAGAGGGGAGACCAGGGGGCAACATTTTCCTGGAATGAACAGCAGAGCAAATATGTCACCTGTAAACACGCTGGTCATGGCAAAGCACTAATTACATGGGGTGGGGATAGCAGGGGGTGGCAGACTTGCCTTCCTGGCAGGGCTGAGATGGGAGGAGTCCTAACATCTGGAGCAAAGGATGTGCTGGCTAGTCTTCAGGCTAGCCCAATTTCTGCCAGAGAAGCAGGGGAACATAGTGCTGAGTCTTGTTTAAAACAAAGTCAAGAGTTTGACTCCACCTAATTAAGGTCCCCCCCAAAGGTGATTACAAAGCTCAAATTTCCCATCATGAATGATTCTGTTTTCTTCATCACAGAACATAGAGGAAAAAACCCCCAAACATGTACTTGCCATATTCCCAATGAGTCCTGATCTTCTTTTGAGCCCAGGTTTTGGCAGCTCAGATGTGTTGCTACCTAGCAGCCAATTTTTCTAACAATCAAAGGGAAATTCCTGAACAAGTTCTTGCTTTCTTGGAAAGGAGAGTTGTTTTTCTTGATCCTACCAAGCACGTGCACGCTGCTCTGCAGACAACAATGATCAGTTCTGCGGGTTTGGCTGGGCTGTCAAGGAACTGCCTCTCATTGGCTCAGCTCAGCGAAAGGGTGTGCTGGGAAAACACTCTCCCCGACACACTGGTTGCCTGCACAGCTTCTCGCTGTGCATTCTTCAGAAGGTCCCAGCTCTTCCAAGCTCTTGACAATGCACATTACTCCTATACACACTTACCCCAGAATTTTTTCAAGACAATTATACTGAAGAGTGGTGGTGTCTTTTTTTTTTTTTAAAGATCAGTCTTGGAGTATTTTAAAAATCGACCCTCCATTTTTATGGGCATCATCAAGTGGAAAAAAAAAAAAAAAGCCCTACCTACTTATGAGAATAATCATTTCCCTTTCACATATGCATTTCATTGAGAGCTTTCATTATGAGTCTAGGGCTACATGCAAAAAATGGAGCTTTTGCCTGGATTTATTGGTCACTCAGAAAGCTGTACAGTCTGCAAATTTGCAGCCATCTACCCAAAATCCTTGGTGCTTCTCTAGTGCTTTTCTTCATCAATAAGGAAAACACAGGGCCTTAGTCACTACAAAAAATTTTAAAAGGGTGTAAGCTATGAGAAGACTGCTCGAGGACGCAATAGACAGCTCTCACCCACAGGGATCTGGACAGACTAGCACACCTGCAGTCATTGAGTTGAAGTAGTTCTTGAGAAGGGTGAATCTAGAAAAACTTCAGCATTGCTCCTACTAACAAAGAGCAGCCTTTTCCTTTTTCAGCATCTATCTGTCTTTTTTGAGCTTAAACAGTCTCAGAGAAGTTAGAGGATCCTGTGCACAGAGGACAGGCCCTGGCAAAGAGCTGGCAGCAGAATCACAGAATCACAGAATAGTAGGAGTTGGAAGGGACCTCTGTGGGTCATCTAATCCGACCCCCCTGCCAAAGCAGGGTCACCTACAGCAGGCTGCACAGGACCTTGTCCAGGTGGGTCTTGAATATCTCCAGAGAAGGAGACTCCACAACCTCCCTGGGCAGCCTGTTCCAGTGCTCCGTCACCCTCAGAGAGAAGAAGTTCCTCCTCATGTTCAGACGGAACTTCCTGTGCCTCAGTTTGTGCCCATTGCCCCTTGTCCTGTCACTGGGCACCACTGAAAAGAGCTTGGCCCCATCCTCCTGACACCCACCCTTCAGATATTTGTAGGCATTTATAAGGTCCCCTCGCAGCCTTCTCTTCTTCAGGCTGAACAAGCCCAGTTCCCTCAACCTCTCCTCGTAGTGGAGATGCTCCAGTCCCCTCACCATCCTTGTAGCCCTCCGCTGGACTCTCTCCAGTAGCTCTTCATCTTTCTTGAACTGGGGAGCCCAGAACTGGACACAGTACTCCAGATGAGGCCTCACCAGGGCAGTGTAGAGGGGAAGGAGAACCTCCCTCGTCCTGCTGGCCACACTCTTCTTGATGCACCCCAGGATCCCATTGGCCTTCTTGGCAGCCAGGGCACACTGCTGGCTCATAGTTAACCTGTCGTCCACCAGGACACCCAGGTCCCTCTCTGCTCTCCAGCAGGTCCACCCCAAGCCTGTACTGGTGCATGAGGTTGTTCCTCCCCAGGTGCAGGACCCTGCACTTGCCCTTGTTGAACCTCATCAGGTTCCTCTCTGCCCAGCTTTCCAGCCTATCCAGGTCACGCTGAATGGCAGCACAGCCTTCTGGTGTATCTACCACACCTCCCAGTTTGGTGTCGTCAGCAAACTTGCTGAGGGTACATTCTAACTCTTCATCCAGGTCGTTGATGAAGAAGTTAAACAAGACTGGGCCCAGTACTGACCCCTGAGGGACACCACTTGTCACCAGCCTCCAACTAGACTCAGCGCCGCTGATGACAACCCTCTGAGTTCTGCCATTCAGCCAGTTCTCTATCCACTTCACCGACCACTCATCCAGCCCACACTTCCTCAGCTTCCCCAGGAGGATATCATGGGAGACTGTGTCGAAAGCCTTGCTGAAGTCAAGGTAGATAACATCCACAGCTCTCCCTTCGTCTACCCAGCCAGTCATGTCATCGTAGAAAGCTATCAGATTGGTCAGGCATGATTTCCCCTTGGTGAATCCATGCTGACTACTCCTGATAACCTTCTTTTCTTCCACTTGCTTCATGATGGCCTCCAGGATAAGCTGCTCCATCACCTTTCCCGGGACGGAGGTGAGGCTTAGTGGCCTGTAGTTCCCTGGGTCCTCCTTCTTGCCCTTTTTGAAGATTGGAGTGACATTGGCCTTTCTCCAGTCCTCGGGCACCTCTCCTGTCCTCCAGGACCTCTCAAAGATGATGGAGAGTGGCTCAGCAATGACATCCGCCAGCTCCCTCAGCACTCGTGGGTGCATTCCATCGGGGCCCATGGATTTGTGGACATCCAGATCGCTTAAGCGATCCCTCACACAGTCCTCCTCGACCAAGGGAAAGTCGTGCTCTTTGTAGGCTTCTTCTCTTACCTCCGGGGCCTGGGATTCCTGAGGGCCAGTCTTAGCACTGAAGACTGAAGCAAAGAAGGCATTCATTAGCTCTGCCTTCTCCGCATCCTCCGTCACCAGGACACCCGCCTCATTCAGCAGCGGCCCCACGTTGTCCCTAGCCTTCCTTTTGCTGCTGATGTAGTTGAAGAAGCCCTTCTTGTTGTTTTTGACATCCCTTGCCAGCTTCAATTCCAGGTGGGCCTTGGCCTTCCTCGTCGCATCCCTGCATGCTCTCACTACGTTTCTGTACTCTTCCCAAGTGGCCTGTCCCTCTTTCCACATTCCATGGACCTTTCTCTTCTGCCTGATCTCCGCTAGAAGCTCCTTGTTTAACCATGCAGGTCTCCTGCCTCCTTTGCTAAATTTCTTTCTCAGGGGGATGCATTGCTCCTGTGCATGGAAGAAGTGTTGTTTAAAGAGCGACCAGCACTCATGGACCCCCCTGCCTTCGAGAGCCCTGGCCCACGGGATTCCTCCCAGTAGCTCCTTGAAGAGGGCAAAGTCAGCCCTCCTGAGGTCCAGGGTTTTGATCCTGCTTATCGCCCTGCTTCCTCCATGCAGGATCCTGAACTCGACCATTTCATGGTCACTGCAGCCGAGTCTACCTCCAACCTTCACGTCCTCCACCAGTCCCTCCTTGTTTGTTAACACGAGGTCCAGCAGCGCGCCTTTCCTTGTTGGTTGCTCCACCACTTGCATCAGAAAGTTATCATCGATGCTCTGTAGGAACCTCCTGGATTGCGCCTGCCTAGCTGTATGGTCTTCCCAGCTGATGTCAGGGTGGTTGAAGTCCCCCATGAGAACCAGGGCCTGTGACTGTGAGGCTGCTTGCAGCTGCCTGTAGAAGGCCTCATCAACCTCCTCCTCCTGGTCAGGTGGCCTGTAGTACACACCCACCGTAATGTCACCCTTATGAGCCTGTCCTTTAATTCTAACCCACAAGCTTTCAACTTGTTCCTCATTTGCCCCCAGGCCAAGCTCAATGCATTCTACTTGCTCCCTCACAGGAAGCAAACCTGTGATATGTGGGATGGGCATGTTCCATTGCTCTGCACCCTTCAGCTCACATCCCTGCTTATGAAAAAAAGAAAAGATAGGCAGATCTCTGCACAGCTCTTTGGCTGGTTCCATGTGCAGTGCAGCTCCTAACGCTTTAAGTATGTTCTCCACTGCAACTCACACTACAGCACATTTGTGCAGAAGACTCAAGAAGTGCGGGGTCTTCTTTATGATTTGCTCTTTGACTGTCTTTTTCAGCTGGTCAGGCTGAAAAGTAGCTTCATATGAATATATTCACAGTCACTGAACGCTTCTCCACCCTGGGAGGGCAAAGCACACCTTTTGGGATTATCTACCCGCAAGCTGCTTTCACTGAAATCTGTTGTCTCAGTGACATCATTCGGGAGATGTTGGCCACTGATGAAAAATGAGCACCAGCTCTTCAGGACGGATAGGGTCCTCCTGATCTGCAGCCAGCAACCCCCAGCTGCAGTCACTGCTGTTCCTCACGACTCTGCTCACAGATGTATAAAATTCTGGCAAACGACCCTGCCCAGGTGGATGATAAACTAGGAATATTCCTTCTGGCTTTCCTCCTGTTTCCTTTCCCATTACCCAGGCCTGTGCTTCCTTCACCCTACTTCTCCTAAGCAAAATCACAGCAAAACTTCTGTGTGTATCCTGACCAACTTCTCAGCCCTTTGATTTCCTCAGTTTTTAGATTCTTCATAGGGTGTCTAAGCAGTGCTCAGCATAAGAAGGGAAAGGGGTCTGGAAAAATCACCTTAGCTATGAAACATGACTCCTGCCCTAAGCGAGACCACACATCTTATTCAGCCATCTGTCTCACCCAACAAGTCTCCTTCCCGAAGAGAAGCTGATAGTTCCTCACTCAGATCACAACCTAAGGACAAGGCCAGTGCCCTCACAAGGCTGGAGGACACTGGCAAGCTCGTGACTTTTGCCAAATCTAAGTTGTGGTTCACCCACTGGCCCTAATCAAGAGCACGCCAGCTGCCAGCCTGAGTAGGGAAACTCAGGCACAGGAGGTAGTATGGATTCAACAGGCCTGAGATGTATGTCTTTGTAAACCACCCTGAACAAACCTGGAGATGGACCTAGGCAGCTGCAAGGGCTTTTATGTGGCTACAGCCCAGAGCAAAACATCACTTTTTATGAAAGCTCTTCAGCAGGCTCCAAAAACAAAGACACTTTGAGGTTTATTTACAAAAGCTGCAATTTTGATGAAGTTTACCACTCCTGATAGGTTGCAAGTAAAATTTAGACAACTTCTTTGTGTTTGGATGGGCTGAGTGGATAGAGAAATCTGTAGCTGAGACATACTTGCAGATTTTCAGTTGCAGACAATCTAAGCCATGCGAAAGTATACTGAAGTCAGTATACTTGCCTAAGCATCAATGTGATGTAGAGGAACAAAACCAAAACAGATCTAAAGAGGTGTATTTAAGACAATAAAAAAGATTAGTGCTCTGGAGGCAGTGATTTGAGGCTCCTCAATATGGCTGGAAATATGTGCATAAAGGTTTCCAGGTTTACAGATTTCCTTAGCTCCTAGTTGTTCATGATAATTCACTGCATGACTTGACCATTATAAATTGAGTCAGAACTTTGTAAACTCTAGTAATTCCATTATTTTCAGTAATGATTTTTCTTCTCTTTCATGTGTGAAAGCAATGGAAACAGACATTTGGAAACCTGGATTGAGCATTTTTGACACAGGTAAATATTTAAAGCATCCACTAAGTAGTCTGGAAATCATTGGTTGCCTTCACAGATGGAAAAAGCTACATCTATTCATCAGCCCCATGACACTGCTGATAACAATCTCATTTTAAGGAGTCATTATAGTACTTAAAATGATAAACAAGGTATTTAATTTACACTTTAGTAGTCAAAATTATTCTTTGCTTGTATCAGTCTCGAGTTGCTGCCTAAAGCAGGAGCAGAACAGATGAGCTCTGGAAAGAGTTGGCAGCTACACTGCAGGAAAGCGGTTCTAGCTACTGAAATCCACTTGTCAATAAGAAGGTATTCTGGGAATGCTGTAGTTGGGATCACAGTCTGGAGCTGCAATTAGTGAAGAGCATGACATTATTCTGATGTCAATATACTTAGGAAAGACATTCAGATAAGAAAAGGGGAGTTTAAACCAAGTGTAAATAATAATAAGCATCACTGAAATTTTCTGATATTTTAGCCTTAAAAACTGACAATATGGAGATGACGACATAATTATTGGTGAGGGAAAAAAAACCCTACATTTGTAGCAGGCTCAACTAGCAACAAAGCCAAGACTTGTGCAATCCCTAATCAGGAGCAGTTACCAACTGCAGATTCTACGTGTTCAGTATGTACGGGATGATCCCTTTCCTCAGGAACATTTAAAGCAGATGACATAAATTCCAGCCACTTCATGACAGGGTACTCCCTCTTTTGCCAGGGGCTGGACCATCCAATGGTCCAAGATGTCTTTTGCATCACCTGTTCTGTTGCTGGAAAGGGCTGTACTGGTGGCCTTTGGAAAGACCACTCCCTTGAGCACCCAGCTTACCTCAAGCTGAGGCATGACTATCCCTTGCGCTGCCTGGGATGAGCAGCACAGCCCTGTCTGCATTAGCTTGGAAATCCAGCGTCAGCAGCAATGCCTGTTGAGTTAAAATTTGCGTCGAACCAAGCACAAACAGATCTCCCTTCCCCAGCAGCAGCAGCCTGAGCCAGAGAGAGGAAGCGTTTCTGTCCTCTGCAGCTTAAGCCATCTGCATGCTTATTTAGAAAAAGCTACAGCACTAGGGCCAGGGGTGCAGAGAGGTCTTTTGAGGCAGAAAATGACAGATTGCATTAAACGCAGTGCAAGGCTGGGGAAGGGATTTTGTATTAATAGTTTCTCAGCAACTGAAGTGCCTGTGTCGACTAGTGTGATAAAGTCTGATGAATTCAGATTGTCACTTCAAAGGAATGGTTTCTGGCATGGATGTAGTCACTGCTGTCTTACTTCAATGAATGGGAAGTTTAATCAGCATGGACAGCTGTGACAATCAGTGAAGGGAACTTTAATTAGCATGGAATACACTGCCCATGCAGTGAGTTGAAATTCCCATGGTCCTAACAACATTAAATTGGACTGGCAGGACAGGGAGGCCCATAGAGACTGACCACCTCCCCAATTAGTTGTGGAAGATTATTTGGTGGGTGACCTTATTGTTACACTAAGCACAAATCAGCCAGCTGACCCACAGCCTTCAAGAACTGGTAATTGCACTGGCAAATACAAACAAAAAGTGCTGCATCGCCTACACTTGGGTTCTCCACACCACAAGGTCAGCTGTATGCCTGGGTGAGGGATGTGGATTTTATTGGACGTAGACAAATGCATGAGGCAGATAGCCATGAATTAGCTTCTCTCTACAATTTAGTTCCTAAAATGAATGGCACATATCAATATCTAATTTCACCATAGTGTTAAATCCACCTACTTTCTGTTCTGCAAATAAGGCAAGCGGGGGGAACGGCACATATGGGATACCAAGCTGGCAGATGAGCTACGCGGTGTGCAGGCTACAGGATAAAGCATGGCTTTGGTCTATGACTGAGGAACTGTTATGTGCCCATGTAATTAAAGCCTGTACGGGAACATACACAGTCAGGAGGGCACGCTGCCGACCAGTCCAGGTTTTAAAGAAAAAAACCCCACAACCATCCTCACCCATGCGGTTGACAAAGGGAGGCTACACGTGGGTCAAAGTCATTGCTTCCTTTGTGTGTATCTCTCTCATGTTGCCTGTAACTTTGCATCAGACAAACCCACCACAAGCCAGTGCTGCCTGCAAAAAGAGCCAAGGTGCCTCCCACCTCTGCCCAGGCACCCGCAGGGAGCTGGTCCAGCCCATCACTAACCTTTTTCTTTCTTCCCAGTTTAACTCTGCTCTTCCCCCCTCCTCCTTGCGTCCCACCGACACCGGGCAGGCACGAGGGCTGGCAGCAGGGCAGGAGGAGGCAGGAAGCTGCCTGGCGAGAGGATGGCTCTCCCGTTGGGTGGTGGGGCTGGTTCGCACCACCTGAAACTCGCCCTGTGACTGTGCCTGCAGGCATTTGCACACAGGCAAAGAAAGAGCAAGGATGAGGAATGCCAAATCGTACTGGGAGCTTTTCTTCTCCCAGGTTTGGGAGTCTGTGGCTGCTGGCGGAGCGGCAGGGTGCAAGTGCACAGCCCAGCCTCAGCCTGTGAGAAACACTTGGCCCCATGGCCACCTCCTTGGAAGTGCTCTCCTGCAGCTCCTGCTCCTTTGCTTTACTTTGCCTGGTGGCTGAGCTGCCCTCCTTTGCATTTACCCAAGGAGCAGCCACGGACATGCACCAGCCTAAGCCCAAAATTCACTCTCCTCCTCTAACCCTGTCCTGTTTCCCCTCCCTGCACCGCTGCTGCTTGCATCTCCTGCCACTGGTGCCCACCCAGGTCACACTCGTGCCTCTCCGTGCCTGCAGCTGGTGGGGTTGCTCCCATCAAGCATTTTGTCGTCAGTCACCCACGCCCCTCAGCGCCTCACACGGCAGAGGGTTTATCTCTCAAGAGCAGCAGCTGCACTCGTACAGGGTTTTTCCTGAGGCCAATGGCACATTCAGTCCCTGGCAGCAAGACTTTCAGGCCTCAGACAGGTCACAAATTGTTGCTGCAGCAGACGTCACTGGACAAACCTCTTTTGCTTTCCCCCCTGTTCCAAAAACTTCACTTTTCCTCAGCCTGGAGCCAGTGCCCAGGCTCAGGCAGGGCTGCCCCAGCACCACCACTCTGCCCCCCGCTCCTGATGTGTCCCCCATCCACGTGGGCCTGCCGCGGGCAAGCGCACAGTGCTGCTGTTAGCGGGTCTGTTTAGTCCCTGAAAATGTCTTTACTGGCAGCTGAATTTAAAAACAAGAAGCCAAAGCAACCTTTCTGTCCAATAAGGATGCTGCAGTGTGCTACAGCCTCCCCGGAGGAATCAGGCATCAGGTCAGCTTTACATTAGGCATTGCGTACTCAGACTCCATACAAACTTTGCCCCTGACCCAAAACCACACATAACTTTCAGCATGTGGGTGGAATCATAGAATGGTAAGGGTTGGAAGGGACCTTGAAGATAATCTGGTTCCAACCCCCCTGCCATGAGCAGGGACATCTTTCACTAGACCAAGTTGCTCAGAGCTCCATCCAACCTGGCCTTGAACACTGCCACGGAGAGGGCAGCCACAGCTTCTCTGGGCAACCTGCTCCTTAAAGGACTCAAGGTAGTTGTATTTGCCCCTTCTGAGGGGAGGATCATTAGACATAACTAGAATGGAAATAGGAGTGGCGATGGAGGGAGCTAGAGCTGGTATTTCCCCCATTTTCTTGGTTGTTTTCTGCATTTCTATGGTTTGGTCATTAATATCTTCAGCAACCAGTTTAGGCAGCGCACGTGCTCAGAGCTGTTACAGCTCCTGTCATATTTTGGTGGTGACCTTTGCTGATGTCCCTTTGCCACCTGCTCTATTTACATACACTGGTGATCTCGTGCTTGGCTTGCTAGTGGCTGGCTGCTGTGGAGAGACAAACTCTGCAGCATCTAGTAATTTCTGAATTTTTTTCTATATTAAGCTCACACTTTCTAAAGTTAGCTTTTTACTGTCTCTCTCTGAAGTCTCTAGACTTTCCTCGACTTATTTGATGATGATGATTTAAAGAAGTCTTCCTCCTCCTTTTTTTTATAAAAATTAATATCCAGTCTACAAAAATAATAATCTGTTCTGCTATTCCTTTGACCAGCTGCTTCCTTGGTAAGCGTTCAGTCTGGGGCTTGTCTGATCATTGCTGTCTCTTTTGAGGATTATCCTAGCTGAATCCCCCATGCTGTATTGAAAAAAAAACAGCTCTTTGCCCTTGCTCAGGAGGGAGATGCTGTACCGTAGGAGAATCTCACCAGACACTCAACTTGTGAGTGAAGTTCAGCATTTTCAAACCTTCTGACACCAGCCTGACAACACCCTGTGAGTCAGTGCATCTCACGAGGACATAAACGCACATTCCCAAGGCTGCTACCATCCAAATATCTCACCTGGGGCCTCTGCTAAAATCCACTAGAGACCCTAGAGAGACCGTTTCCCATGACTTGACTCTAGCTCTCTGCCACCATTTCCCCTGTTTCTTTTGTGCTTTCCAAAATAACCCAGTCCCCAGGAGCACCTGAGGAGCTGTGGCTTGCATTGCTTCCCCAGCTGTAACACAGTGGGGTGAGTCGCTGCCCCTGCCTTCCTTTCCAGAGAAGCAACAGGCTAAACCCATCGCTCGTCTGCTTCAGACGCCGCGCAGCTCGTTGTAAATCATGGGTGACGCACGGCAAGCCAGCAGCACCCGTTCTCTCAGGGGCAAAGTGCTGGGAGGTCACCAACCTGCACCATGGCCACCAGCTTCTGCACCCGAGGAACCCTCCGCTTGCGCATGCTGCTCGCAAGCCCTTGCAGTGAGGGGACCAATTCACAAAGGGGAGTCAAAGTTGGTGCTTGGAGAGAGTTTTGTGGCACTTCTAGAAATTCCTCCACTCTTGTTTTACCCTAGAAGCGATGTAGGTGGAAAAAGGTAAGCTCCAAGGATTTGCTCCCCATCTTCATTTCCCTCCCACCTCAATCCTCAGGCCAGGGGGAACTCTGCAGCCACCTCGTTGCCTGCTTCCTTCCAGAGCAAGGGCAGCCACCGAGCATGCAGCGACTGAGCCTCTCCTTCCTCCCTCTAGGCTTCAGTTCACAGGACGAATTGAATCCGAAGCCACTGGAGTCCGTCTCCCAGGGGAACCCAAGTACGTACGTCAGAATTCATTCCATAATTAAGCGATACCATTTTATTAATTACACATTGCTAGAATGCATTCAAATCACATAGCAAAAGGTAAGTTTTCAAGAAAGCCTAAGAAACTCGAGGAATGCATTTTTCCCTTACAGAGGCACAGCGAGCGCCCTTTGCCAACCCCCCTCATACACAGAATTGATTTTTGCTTCTACAGCGAAGGAAATAACAGCCAAAATTTAGCTTACCTGGGCTGGGAGATGGTGGCTGCTCACCACTACCTCTTCCCGGGCAGTACCAGCTCCACGTTCCTGTGGCCCTGAGCTTCACTTGAGGGCTTTGATGGTGGAGGACAGCAAACCAGCGCGTTGCAGCCAGGGTTGGACGAGTAAGCCCTGCTGACCAGAGCAGGCTCCTGTGGCTGTGCTGAGCACAGGCACCCTTCCCACAGCAGTGGGTGGGAGGGAAGGAAACCACCTGAGAAAGGGACCCGGCGCCTGCTGCAGCAAGGAGAGAGGGGATGGAGAGAGAGGGAGCATCAAGGACCCCTCAGTCTGGGGATGGAGATGTAGGGTCTCCTGCTCTGAAAAGGAAATCTTCTACAGCCCTTTACAGTTAAAGGCAGATTTGCCCATTAACTCATCTTTAGATGGGGCCCAGAGTAGACGGAGAAAGAGAAAGCAAGCTCTGAGTGGAGAGATGGGGTTGTCTGCCGCCTCCTCACGGGAAGCCGCCCCGGAGAGGGGGCTTCACCCTCCCACTGGCGCCCGGGTCCTCTCCTGCCCATCCTCCAGCAGCTGAGCGCTGTCTCTCACAGAACTGGCATTTCAAGGACTCTTTACATTAACTACCAAATCAAATGTCTATACATTCCCAGGTACTCCTCCTAATACTTAAAAGTATTTTTTTCCCTATCAAAGATGTCAAATACACCTAAAACTGATACAGAAATAGAGGAAAGAAGAAACGGGGAAGGATCTGCCCTACAGACCCAACTGCACCGCAGGAAAGCGGAGCTCAGCCTAGCAGAGACACAGGCAAGCACAGCTGTGTTTCCAGCAGCCGAACTGAGATAAGGCACACCAGAATCAAAACTCTCATCCCGCTGATACCTCCAGGACTATAAAAGCTATAACTCAGATCTTGCCCCCTTGCAAATCACTAAGCGCTCAGCTCCCTCCAGAGCACCTTTAGCCTGTGCTTTTGCAGAGTCCCACCGATGTGCCAGCACTGAAACACTCCTGCTGTCTGAATCCTCCCCAGAAATTTTCTGGTATATAAGTGTATGTAAATCTGTGCATGCCTGGACCCGGCTGGCTGACAAACTCCCCACTTTCCACATATAGACTGCATGGTGTAGCTCCCTTTGAAGGAAAGGAAATTCAGGAAAACTTGGCCGTTAATTGAGGTATTATTTGTTGCGGGTTCCCGGCCTTGCCTCATGATATGCTGTGAACGAACATGGTTCTCAGTCACGCTTCTATAATTCAGTATTATTAAAATTAGAAAAACAGACAGCTACGGGAGAAAGAATTGAAGGTAATGAGATGGGAGGCAGTTGCATAAGCCAGTAAGAACAATCGACGCTTTGTAGCCTTCAGGCTACCTAATGATTAAAACACACTATTTTGGACAGTCTGTTAGGAGGCATCATCGGAGAGAAATCAAGAGATGGGGACAACCCGGATGCCAGAGGGGGAAAATGTTAATTAGCGCTCTAGTTAAGCCAAATTTTCATCCCGCTCCTGGTCGTGGTTCAACTGATGAATGCTTTACCACTAACTTGCAGAGACATAAATGCAGGCTGAAGTGATGAAGACATCATTCACAACAGCACAAGATCAGTTCAGCTGTGTAGTTAAAGAGAAGAGTTTGTTTGGGTGCAGGCATAACTTTCCTAGAATATTGCTTTATCTAGAATATTACTTTTCTAGAATATTGCTTTTCAGCCCAGAGAAGAAACACACTGCTGCTGCTGCACGCACCCAGGTACAAGCCCACAGCTACATGCGGAAAGAGCCCCCACTCAGTCTGAACACACCAGACAACATCTTCACCTCCGATGACGGCTCCAGCCCAGAATAAAGCTGCTGAACTGTTCTCATCCAGAAGGTCCGCGCCACCAGGACTGCTGTCAGCAGCTCCCTGAAGAGATCCCGTGATCTCCTTTGTCCCGAGGCACTTCCCGGGCATCACACATTTAGGGAATTGAGCCGATCTTCTGCTTCTGAGCAGCATTAACACAGTATGTGGGAAAACTGTTCCCATTACATCTATTATACCAATTAAGCCCACAAAAGCATAACCAAGGAAATCCCTCTAACCTGCGCTCTGAAGCTGGCCAGACCGCAAAATCCAGCAGTCACGTCTGGCTCTACAGGTTCTCACCGCCTCTGGGCTGTGAACAAAGTGGTCCGAGCCCAAGCCGTGGCTCTGCGGGCACAGGACATGGCCAGCTTGCTGCTGTGCAGGGCTGACCTCTCCTCCCCAGCCCCGAAACGATGTGTTCCCAGACTGACCCCCAGGACAGCTCCTTCCCCTTTTTGCGACCCAGCCAGGCTTGGATGTTGTATGGCAGAAAATCACACCAAGGACCATGTTTAAAGACGAGCAGGACAGACTTGAGCCCCCAGCTGTGACTTGTCCTTGTCAAAGGCTGTTTGGCAGAGCTTGCGCAGCAGAACAACTCACTTGGACTAGATGAGCCACAGAGGTCCCTTCCAACCCCGAACATTCTGTGATTCTGTCATTCTGTGATACTGTTTTAGGCCTTCGCTCCTCACAAGAAGCACAGCTATCAAAAAGGACTAAAAATACTTTCCATCCCTGTGTCTCTCCTCAGATTGCAAGGTTGATTTGTCCTTCTTGATGGATGGGAGCTGGAGCATTGGTAAACGCCGCTTTCAGCTCCAGAAGCAGTTCCTCGGTAACGTGGCTCAAGCTCTCGGCATCGGCAGCACTGGTCCTCTGATGGGCATCGTTCAGTACGGGTAAGAGCTTTTCCTGCAGCTGCTGCCATGGCCACGGGCACGACTGCACACCCCAGCAGCTGTAGCTCTGTGCCTGATGCCTGCTAAAAGTCTCGCTCCAGCTCACGCCCAGGAGCTGGGTAGCACAGATGGGCCCTACGGCTTTCGTCTTGTTGCACATGCAGCAAAAACTCACAATTGCTCTCATTTCTTCTTTTAGTGATGACCCTTCCACAGAATTTAACTTAAAAACTTATGCCAACTCCAAGGACCTAAGAAACGCCATTGAGAAAATCCCACAGAAAGGTGGACTTTCCAATGTTGGTAGGTGACGGGGCTGTTTGCACACCCTCAGCTCGGGGAGGGCTGCAGAGCCAGGGACAGCCCTGGCCCACACCTCCTCGCCAGGCATGGTGGCTGTGACCCAACGGTGCTCGGTGCCAGCACAGGGCTGGCGGTGGGGCACCAGCCCACCACGTCCCGCCGGCGCTGGTCCAGGTTGCTGCACGCCTGTCGCAAGCGGACAGGTTTTACCTTTCTCCTCTGGGGCAGGTCCCACCAACACATCAGGGATTCTTGCTAACCCAGCTTGTCACCCCAGCCCCTCTGAAGCACAGGGAGTGGGCAGATGGGGTTCAGCACACCTGCACAGGCAGGCTCAGGAGGCACTGGCACCACCAGCAGTGACCTGCCCTCCTGCTCACACAGCCACAGAACCTCTTTCCCCAGCTCTCAGCAGGGTTCCAACACTTGAATCAGCCCTTTGCCAGCTCTGTAACTCATCCTTACCTCCTCTTTTGTTCCAGGAAAGGCACTTTCGTTCGTTAACAAAAACTTCTTTTTGGACGCTAATGGAAACCGAGGTGGAGCGCCCAACGTGGTGGTAGTGATGGTGGATGGGTGGCCGACCGATCGAGTAGAAGAGGCCTCCAGGCTGGCCAGAGAGTCAGGGATCAACATTTTCTTTGTCACTATTGAAGCAGCTGCTGAAAGTGAGAAGCAGAATGTTATCGAACCAAACTTTGTGGACAAGGTACTTACTGGGCTGGGGTCTGGGCAGGAGCTTGGCTCTGACTCTACATTTTCCATGCTATTTCATTCAAGGTTTTTCCCTCTCCTTCTTACCACTTGTAGTTATTTCTTGTCCTGCTTATACTGTCCTGAGGTCTCCCATGTGAAGAGCCAGGCTGCAATGCTGAAGTCAGAAAGGGGATGAAGTCAGTAAGGTTCTGGTTTGAGGTGAATCAGGAGGCAAACGGCTTTTTACTCGCTAAACGTTGGCACAAACCTGCAGTCACATGGAGACGAGAGGTTTTTCTGAATACACAGGGGCATGGCAAAGTGACAGGATGAGCAATAGGAAGAGAGGCAATGGCCTCAAGTTGCGTCAGGGGAGTTTTAGACTGGATATTAAGAAAAAATTTTTTACTGAAAGAGTGGTCAGGCATTGGAACAGGCTGCCCAGGGAGATGGTGGAGTCACCATCTCTGGAGGTGTTCAAAAAACGTGTAGATATGGCACTTGGGGATATGGTTTAGCAGGCATGGTGGTGTTGGTTTGACAGTTGGACTTGATGATCTTAGAGGTCTTTTCCAACCTATGATTCTATGATAAAGCACAACTGCAGCCTGAGCTTTCCATGAGCCTCCTGCTGTGAATCTCCCTCTTGGCAAAGGCTGCGGAGCCCTGTCAACCTGACGTCGCTGTTACGTTTACAAACAGGTCCCATACATGCAAATGTTGGGACACTCCCAACACAGCCACATCCCAGTTGTTCAGCTATACTGGATAACTCAAACACTTTGTTTTCACCATTGATCTGATGTGGGTTATTGTTTCTGCTGCTATAGACTTCATGGTAGCTCTTGGAAAAAGAGAAAATCCCTGCTATGTGCAGAAAAAAAAAAAAAAAAAAAAAAAAGAGTGAGAATGCCAGCCTCGGACAATTTGTATTCGGCACTAAGGGCAGTTGCCTGCTCAACGTGCTCCAGGGCACACTGGCAGCCAGTTACGGCTGGAGGTATCTACCAAGGGCCTGACCAGGGTAGGCTCAGGAAGCAGGGTCTAGTTCTCTGGTATTTTCAGAAAACAGATTCCCATCTGAGCCGTGTTGCTCTGCCATGAAACAATCTCCCATGAGTGTCAGAGCTGCTCCAGAGAGCTGCACTGTCTCCGGCCAGCGTTTAACTGGATGCTAGTCTCCTTCGCATGTAATGCTTTTAAAAGGGCAAAGCTACAGTGAGTGTCAGCAAACCTGCCGGGGACATGGTAGAAGTGGGAGTAGAGTGGGCTCAGAATAGGAAGGTAAAGAGGGAACGGTGACTTCATACTGCTGCATTGTAACATTGAAATAGCAGCAAGACAGTAGAGAGCAGGACACGGTGAGGAGCCCAGACCCATGAGAACTCTAACTCCCTTGGAACCGTTAAGCTTTATGCAAGTCAAGAGCAGGCACAAAGAAAACAGTGCCTTGATCTTTTAAAACACTCGGGGACACACACACAAAGTCGGTAGATAAAGCCTGGCTGAACAAAATATTCTCACCTGGAGACCTGAAGCATTAGCATTTAAAAGGCAATAAAGGGCAATTCGACCCAGCCCATCCCCTCTACTCCTGCACCCACCCCCCTCCCTGACTTCTCCCACTCCCTCTTCCGTGCCACCTCTACTTCCCACCCACACTCGCCACGAACTCTGTAGAAGCCTCCCGCAGATCTGCTCCCTACAAGTATTCGGTTATAAAAATTAATTATTCTTATTTGCTATCTGGCAGAGCCAGCACAACGGGGCATCTTTATAGGCTTTTTGCATTTTCACCAAAATTGCCTGGTGTTTTTTTTCTGCTTAGAAGGGTGTGAGTCGAGGATAACCCAACTTTAGGCCCACATTACAGTTCAAGGCAGTGGGGTTTGTCAGCAGACAAAACCTTCCCTGTTGCCCTGACCGATGGGAGCTGAAGTTGCCACCTGGCAAACACCCAGGCTGCCGTACTGCCCACTGCAGCCACGCTAACAGCAGCTCTGTGATTGGGATGCTGTCTCTATGAACAATATAACTTATCTGAAAAAGCCTGACAGGTGGCAAACTTGCTTGTTACATTTATTTCACTACTATAATATCAGCTCCATCCCACAGCTTTTAAAAAAATGCGAGAAAAATCTGTCTGGTTACGCAAGTATCTGTGATGTTACACTGACATCATTTCCCAGGGAAGCAGATGGTGACTGGAGGAGAGGCCACTTCAGACTCCAGCATTGCTCTTTCCAGGAGTCTATATTTACGATTTAGCTACATACCCCAGCTGAAACAGGTGGGCTGAATTTCCACTGCGTTCGCCCTTGTGTTGCCTTGCAGGCAGTGTGCAGGACAAATGGCTTCTACTCCATCAACGTGCCCAGCTGGTTCAGCCTGCACAAGGTGGTCCAGCCCTTGGTGAAGCGGGTCTGCGACACCGACCGGCTTGTCTGCAGCAAGACGTGCCTCAATTCAGCTGACATCGGCTTCGTGATCGACGGCTCCAGCAGCGTCGGCACCAGCAACTTCCGCACAGTCCTCCAGTTTGTGGCCAACATCAGCAAAGAGTTCGAGATTTCGGACACCGACACCCGCATCGGAGCTGTTCAGTACACCTACGAGCAAAGGCTCGAGTTCAGCTTCGACAAGTACAGCACAAAGCAGGACGTGCTGAGTGCTATTAAAAGGATCAGTTACTGGAGCGGTGGGACCAGCACGGGAGCAGCCATCAGCTACGCCTCAGAGCAGCTGTTCAGCAGATCCAAGCCCAACAAGAGAAAGATCATGATTCTCATTACAGACGGCAGGTCTTACGACGATGTCAGAGTGCCGGCCATGGCAGCTCACCAAAACGGTAAGCTCTTCCATCATTAGCTGCTCTTCTTACGCGCCTCAGCCTTTATTCAGGTCAGAGAAATGCAGTTCATTACAGTTTGAAGGCACTGGATGAAACTTTGGGAAGCAAGCTTAGCACCTAAGCCTGGGAGGGGTCTCACAAGCTCTAAGCAAGTGTTGGTTTAAAACCTGAATGAGGACCTTCCAAAAAACCTTACATAAATCTAGCAAAATGCAGCTACTACACATAGGAGGTCTTAGGGGATTTCTACTGTCTTAGCAACACACGAAGCCTCCTTTGGCTTTCCAATCAGGATGATCATCCATCTTCCAACACAGCTGTAGGACATTTGCAGTGGAGCAAGAACCCTTTTTTCAGGAGCCTGTTGTTCAGACCCAGAGCAGAAGCTTTATTATTGTTTAACCCTTTTTGCTGTTGGCAAAAGTGCTTCCAAAGCACAAACTAGGCCTTTCCTCCAATTTGAAAATGCCATTTTTATATGTAGAGAGCACACTGCAACACACTGCCCACATTTTTGTAGCCTGGCAACTACATTTACAGTATTTGTCTTCCATCAAGTTTAAGCAAAAACAACTTTCATGCTCATTCTAAACTCTGGGTTTCTTTCCAGGAATTATATCTTACTCCATCGGAGTTGCTTGGGCAGCCCAAGATGAACTGGAAGCCATCGCAACAAACCCTGATAAGGAGCATTCCTTCTTCGTGGATGAATTTGACAACCTCTACCGCTATGTTAATCAGCTCATCCAAAACATTTGCACAGAATTTAATTCCCAGCCACGGAATTGATGGACGCTAGCAAGGCTGGACCCTCGGGTGCCATGCTGAAGGCACGCCAAGTGCCACAGGAGTAATGCCAGCCCTCAGTTCAAGAAATACTGGAAGTGTGTTTCTCTGGACTTTCCAGTCTGCAAGGTCGATTGCAGCTCTGTCCCTATGCATGGTAACGCTCTGTGTAGACTGTCGGTATTTTTTCCCCCCCCTTACAGGCTTCAGAAACTCTGATTTGGGCAGATAGCAACAACAGCAGGAAAAACCCCCCCTCTGCCTGAAGCGGCCGTCCCTCCAGGGAGCGGCCACGCTGCCCAGCTGCTGCGGCAGAAGCACCTCCGTGTCCGCACAGCCCTGCCCGCCAGCCAGCACCCAGCTCAGGGCTGAAATACCAGATGCTTTTATTCTAGGGGGACAGAACACAAATTTGAGTACTTTCTTAAAAGCAGGCACGCTCTCTGTACAGCTGTCTTGCCAGCAAGCTAAGCTTCAGCTAGCGTAAACTCAAGCATTGAGATTTATCCAGCCCAGAGACTGGAAAGCAAGTGAGAGGGAAGAGTCAAGCTGTGGGACCCTACAACCGTTTGTCAGCCCCAGTAAAGCCCCAAATCCATAAAGCAGCCAACACCCAGGAACTGGAATCTAGTCTACAGCACTGCATTAATACTTGTTTTTGAGACGTGTCTTGTCCCCTCAGCTCTCTTGCTCCGCTCCTGTGTGGCTCAAGGCCTGCAGAACCACTCAGGAGCACTGCTAGGACAGAGGAGACTCTGAGAAAAATTGTGGGTTTAAGCTGCTCACCACTGGAAAAGCACGCGAGACCCGCTGCCCTATTGCTAAACCACAGCCCAGAACGGCTTGTAGCAGTCTTCAGTGTGAGGAGAACAATTCCAGAGCCATTAACAGGATTTAAGCGGGAATTATCCGAAGTTCTGTATTACACACTGGGAAAAGCAGCATTTTGAGCATTTACAGACACACCCTCTCCCAAATCTGGGACTGACTTCTGTTTTATTGGTTGATTTCAAAATGAACCTACTACAGACCTGGATTATTCAAGACACACGGTTGTTTCTTACGTGAAGAACCAGCCATATCACTACCCAGTAGGGGAGGAGGGACACATTAAGAGGGTCAAAAGAACTGCACTTTAATTAGGAAGCAGCAGTTGCTGGTTATGTTTCCATCCAGTGTAAGAAAACACATTCATTAAGCAAAGTTATCGAAGGAAAGCGATGGAGTTTCAAAGCCAACAAAAACGCACGTGTTCACGCACCTCATGGCAACCAAAGCTGCACTGCACCAGGCTTGTGGAACTCACAGGAAATGGGAAGAAATTAAAACTCAAATGTCACGTCTTACTCGCAAACCAAGCTTTTAATAGCATTTGTAGTTTTAATAACTGGGACCTGGGATGTTTATTATTCACATAAAAATGTTAATTGAATTAAATTGCCATAAGGGAGACTCCTTTCTGCCAACAAAAGTAGCACATTCTTTTAAATTGTTATGCTTGGAAATATGACTGAAGTAGCTCAAAACTTACCAGCTAAGTAAGCATCATGCAAACTAATGAGAACAGCAGATTCTGCACAATCTCTCTGGTGTGGTAACCTAAGCCAGGTGGGGTCCTCTCAAGAGGTCAGTTACACAACCAATCCTGGATGAAACAGTGGTTTTACACAGAGAAGCTTCAGATCTTCCTCTTAAAGCTGGAACTGAACGTTTCTTCTAATTGAACATTATCAATACAATAATGCTACCCAGACGGAAGATGCAGGGCACTGCCAGCTTCCAAAAAAAGCAAAACAAAGACATTAAATGTAATTGTGTGCAGAGTTTTTAATGCTGATCTGTGCTGCTGCACTTCCACAGCAATAGCCTCTTGGCTTAGAAAAACTGAAGATTAAGGATGGAGAGTCGGGTAGAAGCAGAGCAACCCCTGATACCGCCCACCTCCTGACCCACCTCCCTCACCACCATTCTGCTGAAAGCATCTTTCTCTGTCAACAAGAGCCATCACACGGGCTGGAAAACAAACACATAAACTGAATTCACTGGGGACAATTTCAGACACCAGATGTATTGTCTGAAAACCTGTTTGCTTGGGGTTTAATTTGGGGCTAGCTGAGAAAAATAACTGAATTCTTAACTTTTAGCTACTCTTACGATTTAATTTTTAATGCAACAGCTTACCACCGCATATTGTTTTCCATACTGGCCGTACTCTTGCAGCACAGAAGCCTGGTACTCTGTGGAGACTCCCCAGTGTTCCGCCTGCGCTCTGCCGAAAGCACAGCACAGAGAGCCAAGATATCGGGAACAGCTAGAGCCACGTGTTCTTTAAGATACGTGTTTTAATTTCTTCCAAAAGCTTAATCTGCAAGCACCGACAGTGAGCTTTCAAATGCTCTTTCACAGGGAAGACGCACAGCTGTCTTCTGTGTCAAGCATTCATAAAGGGCACTTCAGGGTTTGTTGTTGTTTAAATGGTTTATCTTAAATTTACAGAACCACCATGGCACTCGGTTGCCAATATGCATTTTTACTAACTTCTCGGGATGACCTTGAAATTGTTGGACCTCAAGGTGTGAAAGCGGTTTAATGCTTAATCCAGTTCTCATCTACACTCCGATGTCCTATTCATAAACACTGTAAACTTAAGCATAAGCCTCAAAACTTGTAGGAATACACCCTTTCCATTAACAAAAGCACAGAACACACTCCTCTGCGTTTCACAGCAATCAAAATACTTGTCATCTACTAAAGTCTTTAAGCACCGTTTTATTAAAAACCAAGATAACTTACATATAAATTTTCATATATGTTCGAGCGGGTATATTTGTTTGAAGAAAGCAGCAGAACTCCTCCTGTAACATATACAAGCTATTTTGAGCTTCTCAATACAGGTTGCTATATCTTTTGCAATAAAATTGTCCCAAAGGCATAAGCAGTACACTTCGTCTCGTCTGTGGTTAAAAAATAAAACACCAAATACTGTCCATGGCATTTTGGTTTCTGGAATGCAGTGAGGTTCTTACTAGGTTAGGGAAGACCTAGCAAGGTTGGTAAGCCCCGGGCGCTTCGATGTCGTCATTTTACAGGCCCAGCTGAAAAAAAGCCTAAGAGTGAGCTAGCAGAGGAAGGGCCACCAAATTACCTGTCAGAGGAATCGGTCATTAAAGCAGAGTCTAACAGCTAAAAGGCATCAAAATCATATGGACTTTCCCAAGTCTGCAAGATCATGTCTTATTTCGAACCAGACTTCTTTCGGAAGCTGAAAAAAATTAACACAGTCTCTACGTACTTTCTAGATGCAGGGCTGAATCAAAGATCTAGATGTCCAGATGCTTGATGCTGGGCCACTTAGTTTCTAACGCCTGACCAGTGCGGTAGAACCCGTCGCCTGGCTGAGGCATCCCCAAGGGAAAGGCTCCAAGGGCACCAAGGGGTGGGACCTGGAGGCAGGCAGGCAGCCAGGGCTGGGAGCTGGCTGAACTAGCCACTGGATACACAGCCAGGAGGGGGTTGTCTGATTGCCCACTCCCTAGGAAACTGCATCTCCGCACTCAGGAGTTGGGCTGGTGGCTTATCGCTGCCCAGCAATCACAGCGCAGAACACCCGCCTCGAGATGAAAATGATGCCGACGCTCTGGAAGCCCTGGGGGAGCTCAGTGACAGCACCCCTCGCCTTTAACTCCAGCACTAGCTACTCATGTTCTGAGTGAACAACTAAATTTCAGTTCAAAGTTTAATGCTAAATCACCTACATATTGAAAACTTTGCAAGCGTACATCTATACAGCTGAGTGCCTCAAATTCCTCAGAGTAGTCTTTTTTCTTTTTTTCCTTGTTAAAAACTCACACTGTGGGGTATCACAGGTTTTAGCACTGAATCAGCTACCTCTCTCACAATCAGCTGTCCGTCATACTGCACGGCAAGAGACGTTATTTTCCTTAAGACCAGTTTAACGTCTTCTCTGATTTCTAATAAAACTCTGACACTGCAGTCTAACAACTCCAGCACTCGCTTGTAGGAATGACTTCTTTTTAAGCACACAGAGAAATGCTAGTTAAAAGTTGCACCATACAGCCGAAGAGAATATGCTCGCTTTTCTCACACCCAGATCATTATGGAGACATGCCTTGTCCGTCGGCAAACCCGTACGGGTTTCGGGAAGGCCCCCCCATGCGGGAGGGTCAGTCCCACACTGCTGGCAAAATCTTCTTTCTCTCTACCTCAGGCACCTTTGACTGACCCTCTCTGGAGGCAGAACACCGGGGTGAACGCAACTGTGCTGTCCTTTCGTAAAGCAATTCCTCCTTTCCTATGAGGAGGGAAGATGAGTGGGACTAAATCAGAAGGGTTATTGTACCCACCGTGAGGAGACGAGAACTTCGCTTATCACATCTACAAGCTTAGAGAAAACAGGATGGGCTCGCTAACAAGTTGTTCCGCTCAGTTCTGTGTAGGTTCCCATGCCACCCCCGCAACAGCGCCGTTCGGAGCATTTTCCCGTAGCAACGCGACTACCATCTGTGATGTGTGGTTTGCTCTCCCTCATCCTCTCCCCAAGGGCAGAACCGTGAGCATATTTTTTACGTTCAATGAATGTTCTCCCCCGGAAGCGCACCATGTCTAACGGTGCACATATTTTTATGCTAAACAAGTGTCCTCCCCATGAAGCACACCATGTCTCTCTGCGATCAACGCACCGCCGACAGACCAGCTCCTGCACAACGGCACCGTACCCACTCTGCTTGTCTGTTCACCCCACGAAGATCCTGGGGACTGTGCGCTGAAGTGCATGGAAATATGTACGGTGCCAACAGTGCCAAGATGGCACAGCAGCACAAATCTGAGACATACGGAGAACAGAAAAACCGAGACACTACTGCGAATGGTAGCATTCAAAAGGAAAGTCACGTGAAGCTGCCTCATGCCCCTCCAAACGCATCGCTACTTGTCCTAGTCCGAGTGCACTTCCCCTCCCTCCTAGCACACACTCTGAGACCACA